TGGCAAGTGCATGGAACCATTTAATTGTGCGACTAGTATTTTAGCTGAAGTCCATTTTTATTCCACAGAATTGTTAGGCTCCTCGGCGGGGTATGTGGGAGGCGAAATGATTGGCTGATAAGGAGGGGTGAATTAACACACTCATACACCTCTGCCCGGCCGGACTCAAACACGGAAACAGTGTGCCGGTACCGAAAACCTACTTAGCAAGGCACTTAGCTAAGGCACTACATTAGCAATCTCAGCTATCCGATCATCATCATCTATCATTCATCATTGGCCAATAGGTCATTACTGACCTACATACACGTTTATGTTAATTTTTTCGGAGTCAACTTTTCAGACAAATAATAATAATAATAATATAATAATAATAATAATAAATAATAATAATATATATCAATATATAATAATGATTAAGTAAAGTTTGTAAATTTTTGCGCAAAAAGTTTTTTTTTTTTTTACCCTGGGTAGTGATTTTTTTAAGTTAGTGTATTCTGCCTGCAATTTCGATTGGGCAGAATTAGCAATAAATCTGATCTAATTAATTGTTGGCAGCCTCCACCCGGAGAGGTGGATCTTCCGTTGAGGTTATGTGGTCGCATTGCGGGAGGGTTCCTCGGCCTGCGGGCATGCAATTGCCATTACCATCATCAGCTCCCACAAGTTTGTCACGCACAGCCATTACACCGATCACGGTTTTCACATCACCACAACCACCGCAGATTACCATCGCCATCAACCGTACATCACCACCACTATTACCTCTCCACCAACACCAGCAGCAGCTTTATCACCACCACCGTTACCATTTGATCACGGTTTCACCATCACCACAACCACCCACAATTACCTCCGCCTTATTTAACTCGTAGCAGAACAAGCAACAGTTTTCATCCACCACCGTTACCATATCACCGGTTATCACCATCACCACAACCACCACAATTACCTCGCTTAAACCTTGGCAGAACACAGCAGAGCTTTTCACCACCACAATTACCCAGTGATCACGGGTTATCACCATCACCACAACCACCACAATTACCCTCCGCTTTAACCGTTGGCAGAACACCAGCAGCAGCCTTTATCACACCACCGTTACCATGATCACGGTTTCACCATACCACAACAACACAATTACTTCGCCTTTGAACCGTTGGCAGAACACCAGCAGCAGTTTATCAGCACACGTTTCATTGACACGTTATCACTCACCACAACCACCACAATTAACCTCCGCTTTAACGTTGAGAGAAACACAGCAGAGCTTTTATCACCACCACCGTTACCATGATCAGGTTATCACATCAACCACAACCACCACAGATTACTCCGCCATTTAACCGTTGCAGAAACACCAGAAGCAGCTTTATCACCATCACCGTTACATATCAACGTTATCACCATCACCAAACCAACATTACCTCCGCCTTTAACGTTGGCAGAAACACACAGCAGCTTTATCCACCACCGTTACCATGAACACGGTTATACCGATCACCCACAACCACCACAATTACTTCGCTTTAACCGTTGGCAGAGAAACACCGCAGCAGCTTTATCACCACCACCGTTACCATGATCACGGTTTATCACATCACCACAGACCACACAATTACCTCAGCCTTAACCGTTTGGCAGAAAACACCAGCCAAGCAGTTTATCACCACCAACCGTTACCATATCAACGGTTATCACATGCACCACAACCACCACAATTACAGTCCGCACTTTAACCGTTGGCAGAACACCAGCAGCAGCTTTGATCACCACACCGTTACATGATCAGCGGTTATTACATACCACAACCACACAATTACCTCGCCTTTAACCGTGTGGCAGAAACACAGCACGCAGCTTTATCGACCATTCACCGTTACATGATCAACGGTTATCACCATCAACCACAACCACCACAATTACCTCCGCTTTAATCGTTGGCAGAACAACAGCAACAAGCTTTATCACCACCACCATTACATGATCACGTTAATCACATCCAGACAATCACGCACAATTACCTCCGCCTTTAACCCTTGGCAAAAACACCAGCAGCAGTTTATCACCACCACCGTTACGATGATCAAGTTATTTCACCATCACCACAACCACCACAATTAACCTCCGCCTTTAACCGTTGCGAGAAAACACCAGCACGAGCTAATTCACCCACCTCCATACACGTTATCACCATGAACACAATAGTTACGTGGAACAGGCATTTATCACCACCACTTACATATCCGACACACCAACACAATTACCTCGCTTTTAACCTGGCAGAACACCAGCAAGCGCTTTATCACACACCGTTACTCAGATCACGGTTATCACCCAGCACCACCAACCACCAAATTACTCCGCCTTTAACCTTTGGCAGAAACACAGCACAGCTTATCCCATACCGTTACAATGATCACGTTATCACCATCACTACAACCACCACAATTACCTCCGCTTTAAACGTTGGGCAGAAACACCACAGCAGCTTTAATCACCACACTTGTTACCATGATCACGGATTATCACATATCACCACAACCACCACAATTAACCTCCGCCTTTTAACCGTTTGCAGGGAAAACACAGCAACAGCTTTATCACCACTCACGTTACCATGATCAGGTTATCACCAATCACCACAACAGCGCAATTACCTCCGCTTTAAACCGTTTGGCAGAAACACAGCAACAGCTTTATCACCGATCACGTTACCATTGATCAGGTTATCCACACATTACCACAAGCCACCCAATTTACCTCCGCTTTCAACCGTTGGCAGAAACAACCAGCAACAGCTTATCAGTTACATACACGTTACAATACACCACCAATACTCGCTTACTGAAAACAAGTTTCACAGTATTATCCGTTAGCAACTCACCACAACACCGCCATTACAATCGCCCCTAACTTGATGCCACCACCCCTACACTGTTATCACCATTCTCACCCCATCGCGTTACCATACTACACCACCTGAGAGAGGTTGCTAAGGGATCAGCTGATGTCATTGGCTGTGCCCTGACCGGGAGGTTCTAGATTCTGTCCCGACGGGCCAACATTTCCACACTAGCTGGTTAGCTATGTCGGTTCTGTCGCTGCTGGAAGACAATCTAGCTGGCTAGACCGGTTAGTTTTCGTCACACAGCGTTGCTGGAGTAGCACCTAACGCATGGACCACCGACGAGAGCGCGATCTTTCTTTCCTTCTTCTTGTCTTTGTCCTAACCTCACACACCCTATACTAACATTCACTACCCTACAACGTATGCCGGAACGGTCGGGAAGCGGACAGCTTTTCCGGCTGGAACAGCCCCGAGCGGGAGATTACCTGTCGTGAATTTCGGTAGCCGACGTAGATCGCGCCAGATCACACCATTCAGCAAGGGAAGATCACCATCACCTCCCGCGATCAAAAAATACACTACAATTACAGAACTAATGAGTAGAGAAGGCGCGCACGGAATCACTAAGTACTCACATAGCGGGAGAACAAGAATCGAGCAACAGGAAGCGGAGAATATGAAAGCGGAAAAATTAAAAGAGGAGAATAGGACACATGAGAACAAGAAACAGAGAATAGGAAACAGGAGAATAGGAACAGTGAGAATAGGAAACAGGAGAATAGAAAACAGGAGACATAGAAACAGGAGAATAGGAAACAGGAGAGTAGGAAAGTGGAGAATAGGAAACAGAGATTATGTAACAGGAGAATAGGAAACAGGAGAATAGGAAAACAGGAGAATAGGTAAAGAGGAGAATAGGAAAAAAATGGAGAATAGAAAACAGGAGAATTAGGAACAGGAGAATAGAAACAGGAGAATAGGAAAGAGGATAGAAAAGGACGAGAATAGAAGCAGGAATAGGATAAGGAGAATAGGAAACAGGGAGAATAGGAAACAGGAAAATAGAAACAGGAGAATAGAAGAGAAAAGAATATGGAAGATGGCGAGAATAGGAAACAGGAGAATAGAAAACAGGAGAATAGAAAACAGGAGAATAGGAAACAGGAGAATAGGAAACAGGATTGAAAGAGGGGGTTGACTGTCCAACAGGTGCTTTTCGTTTACTCAATGAATCACGTATATTGAACACATTTATTTTTAATTTCGAAGTTCCAGTGCAGCCAGGCCTCGTCAGCTAGCCTTTTAATAATGCAAACTAACTTATTTGAGAAATGTAACTTACTCAACCTCCCAAGTAAATAAGAAAAAACTAATTTCGCCCGTGTTTCCTAAAAGTCTTTCCCCGCTTCAATTGTATCATATTAATTTCTTATCATGTATCCAATTTCTTATATGCAAGATAGTATTCTTGCCTGTGAAATTAAATGTATTGAACTAGTGAAAGATAAAATGTCTACAATTATTCCAGTATATAGCAATCTTCACAACTTCAGCCGGTCAATCGATTTTTAGTGTGAAACTATTCTCTTTCTCGTTGCGAAGTATTATTTTGAGGCAATTGTTCACAACTGCAATATAAGAATGAAATAAATCAACCATAACAATCCTAGCTTACACAGGAAGTAATTTTACTTGTTATAATTTTTTATGTCGCCCTTTTTGTTACGAGTTTATACTTTCAAATTGTACTCTCAATTACTATTACGTAAGTTACTGTTCTCTGTTATTACCCTTGTATGATTAAATAACGCTTTCCATTTAAGTTTCTCGATTCCATTTAAGTCTCTCAATTGTCCAATATGATATGAAATAACCTGAGTATTGTGATGATACAATAGACAAATGACAATAAAGCGGAAACAATGTGCTAACATAGATTTACAATGCATTCTCAAGGAAAATAGA